CCGCCCAGCGCGCCCCGGACCTCGGCAGGCGCCGAGCGAACGCGGGCCGGAGCGCGCGCCGTGCGGTGAGCCGCGGGGTGGAAAGGACGGAGCCTGGGGCCGCCGAGAGGTGCACGCAGCGAGGAAAGTTCCACAACGGGTACGCTGCGAAATGAGCGCGGAAGGTCTGCGTCTGCTGCACAGCAGACGAACGAACGGAGTCCTGCTGCCTCGGCGACGCGAGGGGTATCTCTGGGAGGAGTCCGGGGACCGACCTCGTGGGCCGAGCCGGGCCTCAGCGCTCAGAGCAGGCGCCTGCAGGGTGCCCTCCCGCGCGCCTCCCGTTCTGCTGCTGCTGCTTCGATTTCAGGCAAGACAGGCTGCTTCTCCCTCCCGTCGGTGAAGGGGAGACGGCAACACATCCAGACTCGCTGCGAAGTTTTAACGTGGGAATTTATGTCAAGCGGCTGACAGTAAGCACACAAAACACAAATGTGGCTGTCTGATGCCAAAATATGATCATTTTCAGGGCTAACGGTGTGATGCTGGGGCGCAGCCTTCCCCGTGAGGAGGAAAGCGTTTAGAACGCGCGCCGTGCCAATAGCAAGTGCCCTGCGTTTGCTGCCTCTTACTGCCGCACATATCAGAAGCATAGACGACACGCTGCCGTTTAGCAGTCACGCTTCCCAGGCTCTGGGCGCTGCAGTTTCTTCATCTGTAAAATTAATGTAATAACAGCGCTGACCTGGAGGACGAGGGCAGGGGACAGAGGCCGCTCACGAACCTGGTCACTGGCAGCATCGCACAAACGTCTGCCCTCGGAACCACTGCTTCTGGCACCCGATGGGTTAAGCTTCTAGAAATTAAGACTTGGTGAAACACTGTGATTTGTACAGCATAATTAAGGACAGGATGAGAATGAAGTTTTCCTCAGGAGCCTGCCGCCTCTGGTTCCCGTAGGAGGAAGACGGGTCTTTTCCCTTTAGGCAGTGGATCCTCTCCTCTTCTCTAAACTCCTGAAGTCCTTCCGGGGCCATCCAGAGCTCCGCATTGACACCAACCAGACCCACCCTCTCTGCAGCACTTCTTTACTGAAATTTAATTTGAAGTCATTGCAGTTTCATAAGTGCTTGTAAGAGATAAGTGTATCAGGTTTTCTGGGACGGTGACACCTTGTGTATGTATAGAGCAATCATAAGCAGGATATTGACGTGATACCGTCTCAGATGTCATCACCGTGACATGCAGTACGTGTGTGTGTACTTAATTCTACCCCATGTGTGGATTTGTGATCAGTGCCACAGTGAAGATACAGGACAGGCCCATCGCAAGTGTCTCTTATCTGATATTTCCTGCTGATTACACCCCTGAACTACCACTAATTTCCCATGAAACTTCTTTGTCCCGAGTTCAAAGACCTGCTAATAACTTGCCTACCCCATCACAGATTCTGATGGACAGTGACTATCAGGTGGGTCATACTCCCAGGACAAGTGCATTCTCAGATAGTGCTTTCTTGATTTTCTTTTGGGGAATGAGCAGTAGGAGACCATCAGGAAGCAGGATGAAGGAAATGGAACTCAGGCTCGTCACTCAGTTTTGAACGTACATGAAAAGACTGGGGGCCAGGGAAGAACCCAAGGCAGGCTGATTCATCTAAGTGGAAGCCTAGTGCACACACAGAATCAGAAATTTCTCCCCTGCACCCAACCACGATCCAGTGAATGAAGAACAAGCCTCCTATCTGCAGCTGAAGAACTGGATCTCCTATCTGCTCCCTCTGAAGAGCCCGGGCCGAAGTTCAGCCTCCGTCAGTGCCCAGGCTTGCAAGTGCTCGGGCAGAGCCCGCGTGACTGCGGTGAACCACAGCCTTTTAGTGCCGATGACCCCGACACGCTCCACACGGTGCAGAAAGCACTGGCCGAAAGCCTGGAGGAACGCGAGGAGAAAAGCACTTCCTCTACACTGAAATAATTAGAATGCATAATGCTCCATGAACAGCACCCCCGAAGGCCTTCTGCAGTCTTCTGCTACAGCCGACAACGGGGGAGTGACACTGTGGAGGCCTCGGTCTTAGCGCCTCGGATCACGAGGTTGTCCTTCCGGGTGGAGCAGCAGGAGTCCTCCTGGCTTCCTGTGATGCTGTATGTTACTGAAGAAAAGAATAACAGGGGCTGGGGCGAGGGAAGAAGCGGCCATGCAGGAGAAGGTGATCGACTCAGACGTTCCCTACGGTCCGGCCATAACAGCACCACCTTGCAATTTGTAGGAGTGCAAACTGTCAAGCTCCACCCCGTACCTTCTGAATCAGAAACTGTACCATTAATCTGTGTCTTTACCCAACTCTTCAGGTAATTCTGATGTATGTCAAAGTTTGAGAGCCACTGGACCTTCCAACAAAAAGATTCAAAAATAAGATTGGTCAATCACTACAATGGACAATCATCCTTAGAGAACAAAGATGGACAGTCAAGTACTACTGTAAATTCTGGAAAGAAGTATTGAGCACCTATAAACGCTAGCTATTACCCTAGGGCCAGAGGAATAAACAGAGTGGGCAGTATCTCCACCTCACAGAGCTGCGGGTAATAAGCGCTGTGAAGGAAAAGGGCATAGGGTTTAGAGTGCAATCTTAGCAGGGCAGTGAGGAAAGCTCTCTTTAAAGTGATACTTGAACAGCTGCCTGAGTGAAGTTCAGGAACTAGCAGGTCATGCGGAGGTTGCAAGGACAGGTGTCTGGCAGAGGAAACTGGAAGTGGGACAGCCTGGTATCAGCATGTTTGGCGTGATCAAGGGAGAGTGGGCAGGTAGGATGGACAGAAATGGGGGAAAGGAGAGCAGGTTAGTGAGGTGGGCAGGGCCGGATTAGACGGGGTCTTCCAGCCCGGGAAGGACTCCTCTGCTCCTTGTGAGTGTGGTGGGTACCTACTGGAGCCTCTTGGATGGGGAGAGTAGCAGACTTCTTTGTGTTTCAGACAATTTGGCTTCCAGATGGAGGTTTTCTTGTGGGAGGACAAAAGTGAAAGCAATCAGAAGGGGTAGGGGGTTGGTAGTCCACGTCAGGGATGAGAGACGCTAGACAACTACTGCAGTGGACAAGGTGGGGGGGTTGGTTGGATTTAGGATGTATTTTAAAGGTAAATTTGGAATGTGGGAAGACAAGAGGGGTTATGAACTATTTCTAAATTTGACTGTACTAGCGGGTTTCCAGGTACTTCCGGTGCACTGGCCCAGGGATGGTACTTTAACTTGAACTCTGTGGACCAGTTACACAGCAAGGGAGTGCCAGATGTCTCAAGGGTGAGAATGTCCATAATCCACATCCTGCAGGGAGGAAATCCCCTAAAATACAAGGCCGTGCTCATGACCCAGTGAAAAGGTGCCGGCCCCTCGGCCACCAGAGAGAAGCCACGAAACCTATCCTGTTCTTTCTCCTGATCATTAGAGCTGTGCCTCCTTCAGCTCCTCAAGCTAAAGCCTCTTTCCTGCTTTTGCTCACTTTCTAACTCCATCGAATAAATCTTCCTATACTTTTCACTGACGGGCCCTGAAGTTTTGTCAAGTCTATTCTGTGGTGGTGGTGGGAGAAATCAGGGTCCCCCTTTTGTCTTTGGGGGATCTCTTTGGACCTTGTCTGAAGACATACCAACTTGGTGCTTGCCATCTAAATTGAGCAGAACTCTTGGCAGGTTGGTGATACTCTCTGGCCCCTGCCAAGCAACACTATCAACATATACACCAGTGTGGAGACCTCTCTCTCGTAGGAGGTAGATAAATATCCCATTGCCTATGCACAGGAATTCCATTTGGGAATAAAAACCCTGGGGGGGGGGTCCTCTCTTCTCCCTCTTAATCTTATTTCTTCTTTTATGTTCATGACATCTATGTTTTCACCATCTTCAGAAATATCTTTCTTCATCCTGCCTCCCTTACTCCTTCCTTGGTTACATTTCTAAAAAACCTGAAATGTTCACTTCTTACCTCCTCAGTTCCCAGATGTTTAAAAAAACCCACTGGAATCTGGCTGTCATCCCCCTGGTGACATCACCACCTTGTTGACAAAGTTGGTGGCACTTTTCAGTCCACCACTCTGATCTCAAGGCACCTTCAACGACTCCAGCAAACATTGTTAAAGCTTAGTGACTCCTATATTGGGCAGGATCCGAGCAGAAAAGCCAAAAATGCTTAAAAATATAAGGAATTATATCCCCATAAGTGGTACAAAAGCTGAGAAAATAAATAGGGATCTGCTGAGGCAACACAGCAATTAGTAAGGGCAAAGGCTACTGCCCTCTTGGGCTGCAAGGATGGGAGGAAGAGGCAGGGTTTCCACAGCCAAGGCCTCCTGTAACCTGTGGAAATGAGCTACTGGTCTGTGTGGGAAAACTACAGCCTGGGCGGCGACAAGAGGGAGAGAAAGCCCCTGGGTTCGGCCTTACTGTCGTCAGCCTCCCGCCAGCGTCTCTTTCTTCAAGCCCAACCTACAAGCCCTGAGCGGGGACCCTGGGGGAAATAGCCTGACAAGTCTGGCACCTTGGCTGAGGCAGAGCAGAGGGAGGAGGAGTAAGGAATGGATCTGACGGCTAACAGGCCAAGCACCAGCACCATCCCTACGAATGTGTCCGCGAGCACCCGCACACCCTCCCCTGCTCTGTCCCCTTCTGTGCGTCTGTGGTGCCGGGGATGAACCCTGGGTCTTGTGCATGTTAGGCAAGTGCCCTACCAGGGAGCCACACCCCTCATGTCCGTCCCCTAAACATCCAGAAATCACGTTGTTTTGATTCTGTCTTCATTCTTGTTTTGTTAGTTTTTTAAATCTTTAAAATAAAAAGAGAGAAATGACTGCAACTCACACTAAACATTTCCAAATGGTAGTACGCCTCCCACCAAGCCTGCTTCCCCTTCCTCGGTGACTGTCACCACGACCAGCGAGCCCCTCGAGTTCCGAGCAGACGATTCTCCCTTATTCCCTGTTTTCTTGTTCTTCCCACATCCTATGGGTCACCAGCTTCTCGTGACCTCTGGTTGAGTCTGTTCCTCAAATCCATATTCACCCCTTTGTCCTTGGCTGCCAGAGTGACATGTCCAACACACATACTGGGACATATACCACATTCCTCGAAATTCTTGGTGTTCCTTGAACAAGATCCCTCCCTCGGCCTCCTAACACAGGCAGGTTCTGAATTCCCTATGGGTCTAAAAAAGTAACATTGGATTTTCCTCCAAAGAAAGAATCAAGAAAGGAAGTGGGATGAATGCGAGGACACATAGTTTTGCCTGAAGGGTGCTGTATTCCCAGTCCCAGTGTGACATAATAAAGTGAGAAACGGGGCCTGCATCATGGATGTGCCCATGTGCAATCACACGAAAGGCCACACTCACTTCAGTCATGATAATTGTGAACAGAAAGCCTTTCATGCTCATTGTATATGGGCTCTCACTCATTATATAGCCAATCCCGGCTTGGAAAGTCTACAGGTCTAAGAAACACAAGCTGGATGCTATTCTGAATAATGACAACTTGTGTACTTAGAACCATTTTGGATTTCTGATTCTACAAAATATATTCTAGGTAGGGAAGACAATTTGCAGTGTATATAAAAGGAATACAAAGATTATTTAGAACAATAACATGAATTAAAATGAGAAGGGTTTCTAAGGCCGACAGGAAAATACATTGCCAATAGCAGGGTAATGGGGGTGTTTTTAAAAAAACACGTGAAAACATGGGAAATGACTAGAGCATGGTGGCTGGAGATCTGCATTGAAAATCTATGGGAAAAGACGTACAAAAACGTAAAGATCATTGTTTTTATACCACAACTACATACTTATTCTCTTGTTAAAAATTGAGTAACAGAAGAAAGCTACCTTGTCTCAGATGTAATAAGGGGCAAGTCAGGGAGGGCCCGAAGGCATTCCTGTAGTTTCCTTCTTGCTCGCCCTTTTCATCCCTTCCCCTTCCTTCTTCCTCTCCTCTTCCTCTTCAGTATTTTTCTCCTTGTTCCCCCTGAGTTCTGGGAACAGCAAGGAGAAGTGTTCACACACGCTTTGCTTGAAATCCCATCTTAGGCCGAGGGTCTGGAAGTCAGCTTTGCCTCCCAGGCTGCAAGGGACGACATCACGGGGCCACAGTGGCTGTGACTCCATGGATGGATGGGGCCGCCGGGGGCCGGGGCAGTGGGGTTTAAATGCAGCAAGTGTTTGACCCGCAGCTCCTAGAGATGAGAAAAAAATCGCAAGTAACTTGTCCATCTGTAGGGAAGGAAAGGGAAGGCCACCAAGGCTGCTGCCCCTACCTCCAAGCCCATGAAAGCCACTCCTCTATCCACACATGTTGTAGGCCAGGAAAATGGTCATTATATCTACACTGATTTAAGGAAAATTTTATCCCCTTGTGAGTGTGGTGAGCCCTAAGGAATTTTTACACCCTTTACCAAATTCTGTCTCACTATGTTTTTTTTTAATCTGAATGTTACTGGTTCTCAACCCTTCTGATCTGACGACCCTGCTAAATTTTATTTTTTTATTTTAAAGGGAATAATAAAAAAAGAACAGTAGCAAAATACCAACAACATAGACCGAAACAAAACAAAGCAAAAACAATAAAAATGATACAGGGTTTCAAAACAAAACAATAGAAGTTAATAGTGGCTATTATACTACATATTGCTATCTTCAACAAAATTGCTCAGATTACCAGATGTAAGAATGCAAGATTGATCAAACCATTAAAGAGAATAAAAAAATAAAAACAAAAAAAACCCTATTAGAAACGATACAGAGTTTCACTGGACAAGACGGTAGGAATTCACCACTGGTTGTTATATTGCATATTGTTGTCTTCAAATTAGTTGTTCAGATTACCAGATCTCATTGTCATTTTCTTCATATTAACAGGAATAACTTCAGCAAAGAGAAATTTACAACTAGCTTTTAAGAAATCCTAGGGGACATTTATATCAGCCCGCACTGATGTCTCATTTTATTGTACCTTTTTTGAGACTCTTATAGTAGGTTGCTGGGGTTAATTCAGGTGCTTATTCCCTTGGAACAGCTTGACAGTAAAATAACAAACACAGGAACCAAAACGGTATGGCAAAAACAGCTCTGGAGGCAAAAGGGGTTGGTGAGGAGCTTCCGATGTCCTAAATGTGCTCAATCCTGGAAACAGCCTAGTTGTAACTGAGAAGAAGGCAATAAAGGAGAATTGTTAAATATGAGCAAACATTCAGAAACATGGGGTTTTTAAAATTAGAGGACACAAAACACAGTTACGGTAGGGTGGATTTGGATGGGCAGCAAGGGTCACAGGTGTTATCTCTATTTCCTTGATTAGCCAGCCAGACTCACCTAGAGTGGATCTGGGAAGTAGAGGGCAGCCCTGTCATTACGCCATGGAGTTCTGTGGGTGCACCGCACAATACAGTAGTCACCAAAAATGTGACTGTTTAAACTTGATTGAAATTAATCAAGAGCAGAAGGATTGCAAGTTTGAGTCCCACCTGGACAACTTAGTGGGGCCCCGTCTCAAAAAATCTGAAGGGTTACCGAAGTAGCTCAGTGTGAAGGCCTTGGACTCAGTCCCCAGTATTACACACCAGAGAGAGGAGACAGGGAGGAAGGCAGGAAGAGAAAGGGAGGGAGGGAAGGAGGGAGGAAGAGGCTAGATTTGGAAAACATCACTTTTAGAGATCTTATGACAATTTTTATTATGTAAGTACAGAGGTAGTTCTCTTCGGATAAAAGGATTAACTAATGGTTACTAAGCAAAACACAGATAGGAAGGCATGTAATCAGTAACTAAGTAAAGCAGAAATCTGAAAGCTAAATTGTAAGAATTTTCCCAGGAATCACACATCCCATTGTATAAGGAAATCACATTAGGTAAGCAGGTAAACAAAATAACAGTTGTTGAAATGATGCCTTGCAACAAGAAAACAATTTTAAAGGGAACAGTAATTGAAGGAAAAATGATAAAAGACAAGTCTACTACAGGTCATTAACACGAACATGGGGAGGGGGACACAGATAAGAATTCATAAACACAATCAGCAAAGAAAGGAAAAGACAGGCCCATCGGTAAATCGAAAGGTTTTGGGGAAAAGCCATGAAGAAATTTGCACAAACAGCAAAGCTAGGGAAGTATTTGCAGAATACACTACGACAGAACTTTTAATGTGGACAGTTCATATAAAAGGATAAGAACAAACTTTATTAGGCCAATGAGTAAAAGATAAAAAAAAATGTGCAGAAGGGGAATTAAAAGTTGAACACATAGGGAAAATCTTTCCTTCCTCAAAGATCAAAGAAAAAAAAACCAAAATGAGATGTGCTGGAACACTTACCAAAGCAGCTCAGGCAGGGGGAGCGGGAAGCCCCAGGGGCGACCACAGTGAGGGGAAGCCGGACCCAGGCGTGGCTCCAGGGTAAGAATGGAGCAGCACTTTCACAGTCACCTAGGAGAACCCTCAAGGGGCAGTCAGAGCGCTTAAGCTGCTGTATGTGTAGATACCCACTCCCCGGGAAGATGGGATTAACGAATCCAGACATGTAACTAAGAAGAGAGCACATGCACAGCCTCTGCCCACTGACTCTGCTCTGCACACTGGTCCCAAGGTGAGGATGCAAGAGACAGAGAATACCATCTGGACAGAGGTTGGGGCTCTGAAGTTAAAGGGAGAGACATGGTGGACCGGTCCGCTTGACAGGCTATTCCTTGGTAAAAATTATGCTGGGAAGGGTCTTTCACTCTTTGTTTTAGAATTAGTATGTAATATTTGAGACAAAAAAACAGAGCAAGTTTGAGTTAGCTCTCTGAAGATTAGTAGGTAGTCCTCACTTGCTCATTTATTCACCTGAGATCACACTACATATATAGCAATGTTTTACAGGGTGTTTTAAATACGAAGGAAATCATATTGTAAAAAGTATTTCGTAACTTGTCCTTGTTACTTAAAAGTGAGTCTTTTCTCAGCTTGCCGGGGTGGTCTATACCTGTAATCCCAGCACTCTGGGAGGCTGAACTACTGCAGCAAGTACCTTCTCTATGAGTCTTGGATAGTTAGAAGTAGAATTTCTGGCTTCAAACGCAATGTGCATTTTAAAATGTGATAGATACCATAACAGTATACATACATGTGGATAGGTATGTACAGCAGGACCCTCATGTGATTACCTACTTCTCTGTATGCTCAGTAACATGGAATTTTTTTTTTGAGACAGGGTTTTGCTCTGTAATTCAGGTTGGCCTTGAATTTGCTATATAGTCCAGGCTGGCCTCTAACTCATGGCAATCCTCCTGCTTCAGCCTTCCAAGTGCTGGGATTACAGGTGTGTACCACACGGCCAGATAAACATGGTATATTTAAAAGCTATAAAGTTTCTACCATTTGGTAGGAAAATATATCTAATTATTTTAATAATACTGAATTATTTATATTTATAGCCTATTAGTTCTTAGTTTCATGTTGAAAATATTTTCTATCACATATTTTAAAACTTGTTTTATTATGTTTCATTTTTATGAGATGAAATCTCACTACGTGGCCTAGGCTGACCCAAACTCATGGGCTCAAGTGATTCTCCCGCCTTAGCCTCCAAGTAGCTGGAACTATAGGTACGCACTGCCCTATTCAGGTTTTATTTTAATTTGTGTGTGTGCGCGCCAGGGATTAAACCAATGGGCACTCTATCACTTGACTACATTTCCCAGCCCTTTTTCTAAAATTTTGAGATAATGTCTAGCTAAGGTGCAATCCATACTGCCTCAGCCTCCTGAGCATTTTTAGGACTTTAGGCTGGGCATGGTGGCACATGCTTGTAATCCCAGCACTTGGGAGGCTGAGGCAGGAGGATTACTGCCAGTTTGGGCTATAAAGTGAGTTTCAAGGCCAGCCTGAACTGCATAGTGAAACCCTGTCTCAAAAAGACAGAAAAAAAAAAGACTTTAATGGTGCCTTTGTGGTGAAGTTTACAGGATTTTGGGGAGGGGGTGTTGTCCAATTTACTAGCTGTTTGCTGTGACTCTGACTTGATATCGGGTTTTAAGTGGCTGTCAGTCTCCAGAGACTATAAAAATAGTCATACACATTTTCTGCTAATGTTTTCCTGGTTTGTTTTTGCCCTGATAGCTCTAGAATTATACAGTCTTGCGTGAGAGGATAGCACTCATTATATAACTGGGTAGAAAAAATGGGGTTACACAAAAAGGTGACGCACAGAAACAAAAGTATAGCAAAAAACCTGTATGGTCCTTTCTGGGTGAGAGATTATTTGCGATTTTTTTCCTTCTAATGTAAGTTTCAGATTTCAGACAGTTTTGGTTATATTCACAGCACTTAGCTGTCTTTTATATTCTTTTTCTGTCTAGTACAATAGCCACCCTGTCTCTCTCCCCAGTCACCACACTCCACCAAATCGGATATAACAGCCAATCAAACTTAGGCTTCTTTACATAATTTTTCAGATATATGTTTAAAAGTTTGGGGGGAAGGGTATCATTGGGACTCAAAACTCAAAGGTTTAGGAATCACTGAGGATCAGAAAAAAACAGACAATGAGGCAGCGAGGGCCACCAACCACTGCATTTGACCCGTGGCCGTAGAGGTGGGCTCCTGACCCAGCCTGGCCCATCAGAGCCCTTGCCTGGCCTTTCTCAGGGACAAAGCTCCCCTGCCTCTGGTCGCAAGGCTGACAAGTGTGTGGTCACAGCTGTCTGTGGACCTGGCTCCCATTGAGCAGATGATGAAACAAGGGACGCACTTTCTCAGGGCAGAGACAGAAAGACGGAGGACCTCGGCTCACTTAACTCCCCCTAGCTAATTTTCCCTGGCTCAGGTCCACCACTAGCTGAGTTTTCTTAGCTGCTAAATCTTGCCCCTTCCCTTTCTCTTTGACTGGAGCAGCACCTCAGTTGTTGGTACCGGAAAGTCCCGAGGAAAAAGAATGACAGGAAAAAGAAGAGAGATAAGACTGAAGAAATATAAAAGTATCACAAGGGTGGGGGGGGGGATAATTATACATCTTGGGGGCAGCCATCGTCACTGTGTGGAAAGAGATTAGCAAGTAATATAATTTAGCAACTACTTGGTTTGTAGCCATTAAGCACCTTATTATCAAGAAAATACCAAAATAATAGCAAATAAAAGCAAACCTTCATAATTTCTGTATTTCCAACAAAGCAGGGAGGGCCGTGAGGTTAAGGTAATGTTCCTAAGTGAGAAGCAGCAGTCCTAAGACACGCACATGCCTGGAAGCGGCCTATAATGGATGTCCACCAACATATCGACAGACGTGTGCAGGCACACAACACCCAGCACGGTGCTGGACACCATTCGCAGATGTCAACGGTGGGTAGCTGGCTTAATCTGAAAACGTTCTTCGGGTGGATACATTATGGGACTCAAGAAATAAAGGGCTTTGTGGGGAGTGTATCTCATTCATCTTAAAATTTGAACTCTGCGTGGGAGGGTGTACCTAAGTAGCGTCACCTGTGGCATTTAGACCCACCTCTCTGGAACCCCAGCCCGGTATTCTTTCTGTTGTCTCTGGATGCCAGTATGAGATGACTAAACTGATCAGAAATAAACACACAGCCACAGTCCTGCATCAGAACTGCATATAGGTGCTGTAAAATTAGTGCTATCGTTTTGTACTCATAAAAAGTCCGCGTCTTTAAGGGGTATTATAGAAACCTAGATTGAGAGTACATCGTGCTTGAAAAAGGGTTTGGGCTGGTTGCTCACGGAAGAGATGTTTGGGTGGAAATCCACGCCTGACTCCGGCAGCTTCAGCCAAGGGCTGAACAGACGAGCCCCTGTCCTGACCTTCATCCACTTTCCATGAGGGGGTGACAGCCACCATCTGAAATCACTTTTGTTTCCCAAAAAATATCAAGAAATGAACCTAATCGGACTTTCATAGCCCTTTTAACAAGACAACTTTAGTTTTTTTTAAAGGAGCTGCCACTGTCAAGAAACCCAGCTACAGTTCACAAGGACCTAGAAGAGCTGTCCTGGGGCGTGAACGTTTATCCTGTTTCTGCCCTTGCTATGGTGACACCTCATTCTGGGGCACCGTGACTGTTATTTTCTTGAATCTTAAAATTTAAAAATGGAATATAATGCAAACTCAAACGTGATTTCCTTTTGAGGCACTTATAAAAACACTGAGTATTTTGGGGGTCAAAACTCGGAGTTTAACAATCCCTGAGAACCGGAAGCAAGCAGACTGGGCAGCTCGCCCCTGCAGAGACGAGCGACTCGTCGTCAGCTCACTCCTGCTCCTCAGCAGCGCTTTGCAGACTGCGTCACCGCAGGCCAGAGGGCAGCGGGCGCAGACCCTGCTCAGGGAGGGGAACGAGGGACCACCGCTGCGTCTTCGGCTCTCACGGCATGCTCCACAGCGCTCTCTTTGCTCTCGTTCTTTTATGAGCACATCCGCAGGACATCACACGTACGTGCCTTGTGTGGAGCTGGGACATGCACATAACACATCCTAATTCCTTTCTAATCCCCTCCCCCACCCTCGTTCTTGGAACTTCTTGCCACCTGAGAAAGAGCTATCTCCTGACTTCTATTACGCATCTTTAACTTTGCTACTTGTACTTTGGATTTCTCATCTAAGAGAAGGTATGAGACTCTTAAGCTCGTGTGTCTGATTTATTTCGCGGAACATTATGGTCTGGAGGTGTGCCCATCTTCCTACAAATGACTCAAGTTCGTCCTCGTCGTAGAACGGTGCTCCGCTGTACGCACACACCACATTTTCTTCGTCTGTTAATCTGTCGCTGGGCCTGTAGGGTACTTCCAAGAGCTTTGTTTTTATATAAAGAAATACACACACTCTCTTCTCTCCCTCTCTCAGCACTGGGGATTGGACCCAGGGTCTTGTGCATGCACTCTGCCACTGAGTTACATCCCTAGCCCTTTGGAAATTTTGAGACAGTTTTGCTATATTGCCCAATCCGGCCCCAAACTTGCAGTATTATTGCCTCAGTCTCCTGAGTAACGGGGATTACCAGCAGGCACCACTGCAGCAGGCTCACAGCTCTCTATGGTAAATCTCCAGCAGCCTCTATGCTTTCTCCACAGTGCTTAGTGTATCCATGAAATCGTAGGTTCAGGAATTTTGTTGCTGTTGTCCACTCCTCTTCCAGTGAAAGCTTACAGCACTGGATTTGGCAGGCCTAATCAACACGCGTAGAGTGAGTGAAGGACTGATATAGATGATGATGTGTTAAATTTCTCGCCCCGGAAGGCAGGCCTTTTCTACCCCGAGGCACAGAGGCATACCTGCTCACCCTTGGTGGCACAAAGCTCCTAGTTTAGGGGCCACGACCTAGGAATTCGGGGGAAAGCAGCGGCAAGGGTCCTCCTGGCTGCTCGGCATCAGGGGGTGTCTCCACAAGCACATGCCATACGAGACCATACTGTGACATATTTTCTGGACTCCTGGCAAATTCCCATTAAATGTCCTCTGGTTTTGGTCTGATGGTCATCAGTGGCCTGCACTTGGCTGGACAGTGGGAACCCCAAATCTTTTCATGTCTCAGAGCCCAGCCTGGGCCAAACCTCTTTTGTGACTTTAGTCTTCACTTAATGGTCTGACTCCAAGGCCAGCTCTTTCGTCTCCCTCAGAGGGCAGCTCCTCTGGCTCCGTGGGGTCTGGGGCCAGCTGTGTGTGGACTCTGCTGAAGTAGTCTGAGAGAAAGAACAAGCTGATTTCAAAGTGAAGATGGCAGTTTTGAAAGAAAACACAACAGCGTGCCATCATCCACTAAGCCACAAATACCAACCACAGGTTCCCTTAAGGCTGCCTTTCCTTTCATTTCTCGGGAAAACATTTACTTTCTTTCATCTGTAGCAATTACAGGTGCCAAAAAAAGCATATCTGTGGCCTGACCCGTGGCCCCCTGACAAGATACAACTGGGTCATAAACACACTTTGCTAGTTATTCGACATTTCTGACCCTACTTGAAAGACACTTTATTTTCCAGTTTCTCAAGCCACCTGGCTTATCTACACTAGCAATGTATTTAATGTAAGTCCTTAGATAGATCTCAGCTTACACCAGGCACTCTTCTAAACTGACTGCATATTCTAATTATTATTCCTATTTTACAGGTGAGGAAACTGAGGCACAGAGAGTAGGGGCCCACGGTTGGCAAGTTCCACAGCCAGGATTTGGAGCCAGGTGCTTGGCTCCCGAGGCCACGACCTCAACCACTTGCCCATTTATCTCACACGTT